TATTTCTAATTTATTTTTAATCAATAATAGCGTGAATGCCTAATAGAAATGTTTATAGCAAATTATAAAAGAAAAATCTTTGAGATTTTATTTGTACTACAAAAAAAAAACAAAAACATAGAGCCGTACATAAAATCGTTAATAATAATTAAATCGTTAATACGTTTTGACGTCAGTTAAAAAAGGGTAATGTTTTATACAACTGTATCTTTTGCACATCGTCGTGTGGTCCCAGCACCCCTTCCTTTTACGTGGGGCTCGTAAGAGACAACTAAGGGAGGGCGAGGGATGAACAGCAGCGTCCCTCTTAAAACATTTCTAAAGGCCTAACTGCGGTTGCTAACCCGTCTGCTTAAGCGTGGCTCCTATAGGCAAAACTCCCCTCATTGGGAAAGCACACGTTGTGCGAAAGCTTTATTATTATTAATTCAGTCATTATCTGTCCATTGCTGAACGTAGGCCTCCCCCATAGACTGCCATAAGGAACAGTCCTGAGCCACCTGCATCCACCGACTCCCTGGCATTTGGCTTTAATTAAGTTTAATAGTTTAACAGTCGAGTTTATTGTCTGTTTGTCACTTATACATTAGAAGGTCATTCCAGATCCCATTAGATAAATACAGAGAGACACAAATATTTTGTTATGATGAAAGTGTTAGATTCCAACCAGTGAAATATCTATTTCATAAGTGTAAATATGTTTATTGCTTCATTATTAACGTAATGTCTAAATTGCATGTTGTAGTCGAAGCGAACGTTTAGTTAGCATATTTATGTTATTTATTTATGTTTCTTATTGAGCTCATGAATATTACGTTATTGTATGACTATAAAATCATTCAGCTTCTAAATAATATTATTCATCTTGTTAAATAATTTCCAAAGTGTATTAAATTTTTTAGTTTTTTTTTGTATTGCAATTTTACGGGGTTATGTCGGCAAATCTTAACCGACTTTTATGATTTTTTTTTTCAATATCTAGGGCAGCGAGTGGATGTAAGTGATGCATCCACTGACCGTTTGACCGTTGACTTTGGGCCGTTTCTTACGGCAGTCTGTGGCGGAGGCCTATGTTCAGCAATGGACAGATAATGGCTGAGATGACGATGATGATGAAATAAGGTATTAATTTAATATAAATTTTGCGAAAATTGAAGCCGCTGTTTTACTTCTTAGAGCAAAAAACACAGTCTTGTCTTCAAGAATGCATGCCCACACTGAGAGGTACCATGGACGTCCCAGTATATTCATGTTTATCTGCGTTCAGAGACAAATCAGTGTGTTCATATTTTCTTTTTTTATGCAACTTCGAATGACAAAACAAACTGATAGCCACCTAAAGGAAAGTGATAGCCGTCGCGTATAGACATGAATAGTATAATGGACATAACAGAGCATACTTTGTCACCCATGATACCGTCTGTTGAAACGGCACCGCATAAAAGGCATGCATTGCCATTCCTGAGGAATGTATGAATTTACAGTGCACCCATCATTTTCCATTCAAGTCTTATACAAAACAAAAGAGATTCACATTACAGATACTTTAACGGTCGCTCTACAATTTAAAACACTTACGGTGGGGCGAATTGCATAATCTACAGCCTACATCGACACTAACGGAATGGGCGCGGTGTCATCGATTACACACGATTTACGGCTGGCGAATCGTTAACGACTGGGAACGGTTTTGGGTTAACTCTGTAGGCTGAGGTCTCGCGATTTAAAATATTCGTTATGTTCTTTTATTCCCTACGTTGTAAACTGTCACTGTGTGGTTCCGGTATAAAATGGGCCGCTCCTTCATTTTCCATGGGTGCCGTAAATGGCGATTAAAATTTGGGGGAAAGGGATTGCTAGTAATGGAGACTGAAAATCTCATTGCTAGCAATATACTCAACCAGGTCGACCTCCTCGCGGTTCCCCCTGGAAACTATCATGGTTAATTCCTGATGAATTCATCATGATGGGCTAACTGGCCTGTTTTCATTCTCATCGATCACCCTTCACTGGTGCTCCGCCAGCGTATCCCGTTAGCGCAGGCGGGGTTACCATACCATTTTCACCCATCAAAAAAAAAAGAGGCGATTAAAGAAATATAATGGTTGAGAAATAGATAGCAGCGCCCCTCTTAAAACATCACCAAAGCCTAAATACTGACAAAATCCCCCAATAGGGGGAGGTCTGTCTGAACATAGACTTCCCCCTATTAATTACATAGAATTTACAATAAAATAGTACTTAATAAGTACATACCATTTTATTGTATCTACCCAATTTATGTCTTGAGTGCTCCGACTACAGCAGACTGCATTATGTAGATCGATGAAGGAACAAAATGCATATTGGAGTTTCTGTTTATTTCATGTTTTGTACTGAAATACTTTCAATGGGGACATTAGAATGATGGAATGTAATTTATAATAATATCTAGTACCTATACTGTTTTGTATTATTATATTATATATTTATTTATAAAAATTGCATAGATTAATTCACAACATATAGCTCACAATCCAATATATAAAATTCTCGTGTCGCGGTGTTTGTTACCAAACTCCTCCAAAACGGCTTTACAGATTTTTATGAAATTTTGTGTGCATATCGGGTAAGTCTAAACATCGGTCAACATCTATTTTTCATACCATTCAATGATAAGGGAGACCCACCCCTAAATTTTTTTTTTTTTGAAAAAAAAATTATTTTTATTTTATTATGATTTAGCATTGAAAAGTGCATACAAATTCAAATTTTCACGCTTTTACGATTAACCCCTGTTTTTTAATCGCGATTTTTATATGCCGCAATAAGGTTGCAAGATGACAATCGAATATAATAATTGTAGTACGATAAATTTTCATGTCTAGAAATAATGTATATGGTAAAACAACGTTTGCCGAGTTAGCTAGTAAATATATAATAGAATACATTAGTAAATATATAATAGTAAACATACAATTCTACACAATACATAATTAATTTAGTACAATAAAGATTTTACAATAACACCTAAACATATTATTAATAAATGTGAATTATGAGCTTATTTACTTACATAATCTATAATATATATATATAAAACTAATATATTTCATAAAAGCCAAAAAAAAAAAAATTAAAGATCATTTATATTATATTATATTGATCAATTATATTATATAGTAATAGGTTTTTGCCCATTACTTCGCACGCGTGGATTTCAGAAGTAAGAAAACTAATGAAATCACTTCTACATGTCGTATTAAGATAAATCGTACACCAGATTTTAAGTTAAATCTTCAGGAATACGACTAAATCGCATCGTAGCCGATTTGGTGCAGTAGTTTTTGCGTGACGACTATGTGAACAAATATGTAGACAGAAGGATAAAATTTAAAAAAAAATGTCTTACGACCATATGCATGACCATTTCTTTTAAAAATCTCACATGTATATACATCGTCTAGGTACAATTTTTTTTTATATATTAATGAGAATAGGGAACTCTTTTTAATAAAAAATAAATATGATATCGTCAGGATTTATTCATCTATTTTCCACATATGTTACTAGAGGGGGACTTTATACAAAAATCGATTTCTTGGGCACTCTCTGTCCCATTCGTCGTATTATATTATCCGCTCGGCAAGGAACCCAGTCTTGCACCTTAAAACAAAAATATTCACACAGTACGGTTTCAGAGGAGCTTCTGAATCAATCAGGTTGTGGAATGATTTCCTGCCGAGGCTTTCCCTAGAGATTACAGCATGGGTTTTTTTTTATACAACTTAGAACGGCAAACAAGCTGACGGCCCACCTGATGGAAAGTGGTAACCGTCGCCTATAGACATGAGCAGTACATGGACATAACAGAGTATACCGTTTCGCTCATGATACTCCCCATTCTTAAAAAAGGGCGTGTAAGGATTCTTAAAAAAGGGCGTGTTAAGGTTTCTGAAGGGTCAGCAACGTACACATGACATTTCTGGTGTTACATATGTCCACTGGCTATAATAACCCCGTTTACCAACAGACGGGCAGTATGATTGTTTGCTACCATAGTTGTATAAAATATATTTTGTATTATTTTCTTTTTCTTTTTTAACAGAAAAGCCAATGTTACACTTGTATTTAGTGAGTAGGTGCTCTCTTTTATAAAATTAATTTAAAATTATTTTGTAATTTACCACATTCGTCAACTATGCCGTCTATTTTCAGATATGTTTGCCGCTGTTGCTGCACAGTGTAGGTACATAAACCCTATACTAGTCAGTAAAGAATCCCCGCTGACATATTACAACATACTAGATTATAATGGCTTATTTATAATCCTTAGCGGACAACTGGCAATCAATCACAGAATAAATCTAGAGATTTATGAAATACCGCCATATGTACAGATGGGCAAAGCACCGGGTTTAAACCCGGTGCTTTGGTAAAAACCCAATAAACACCCATAAACTCCCATAATCACCCAAAAAAATAGGTTTTTACGTATTTTTTTGAAAATATGTAAGTAATACCAATAAATTATTTTTATAAATTGTATTGATCAATTCTACAATATTAAATAAAACGTTAACTAATAATATTTCAGGAAATTTTAAAAATCTATATATAATAAAATGAAAGTAATTAATTTTCAGTGTTTTCATGTTGCAGTTGATCAACATGTTGGCCTTTTGCTTCCCGTAGATACTTTAAAATTTCTTCATAACACCTCGTTCGCACACATGGCCGTATATATTTAAATTCTTGAGCCACTAACAGTCCGAAATACTCATTTCTTTTATCCTCTTCTCCATAAATTAAGCATTTAGAACAGTTTGTTTCTTCTTTCAGTAAATTTTCTTTTACTTTATCCTCGTTTTTTTCTTTGTTGCGACGACGCTGGGTAAATCATCTGGACACTGGGTCTCACTATCGCCAAATATATTTGGAGATCGGCTTCGGCTACGGCTTGGCAGACATTTTTTTCTTTCTACAATTTTAAATTAAATTTATTAGAATAAATGCATCGAACACACGCGATCTAAGTACCTTTTGTGTTTATTATACCTTACCTACCTAGGTATAAAAAGAGTACTTACGTAGATTTTCTTTTATTAACTGTTTTATACGAAGATCTTGATCTCTCAAATTAGCATCCATTTTACTTCCAGTGATTATCAACTAAATTAATAATCCACAAAGTATTAAATAACGTTTTTATGAAATATTTAGCACAAAAACAATACCCTTTAAATATCGATCGTCAGTAACTGTGGCTGACTTACCTATATTCTAGCAAGCAGGACTGCCAGATGTGAAGGGGAAATCCCCAATAAATTGTTGCATGTGACTGATGATGTGAGCATGTTCGTTTCATAATAAAAATGTTGCCAGGTAACCAAAAAGTCGTATGTTTTTGTGCGAATTACGATCATAATCTTTACGATCGTACATTAAAAAATAGACAAATAATAGTATGAGTACGATTTAAATCGTATATCTGTCAACCCTGCTAGCAAGACAGCGACAAAATCACGTTGCATAACAATGTAGCCCAAGCTTATATCTTATGAAATATACGGAAGAGATACGGACTTAGAAAAAACAGAAATGTTGTTCTTTGTGGAAGTCATTGATGAAATTCTATGTATTTTAGCCCGCAAACTTTCTTCAAACAAAAACAGCGCCATCTAGTATCGAGTTCTGTAATTATCTCTTTGTTTATGGATTTGAAGTAAGACCGCCACGCATGCAATACATTATGATTGGGGATTCCCCTATTCGTCGACGCTGAATATGAGGCGACGACAATCACTGTCAAACGTGTTCACTATTACTCTGACTCTGGTAACGTGACTTCCTGGTAACGTGTTAGGTAGGAAAAGCAGTAAAAAAGTGCATATTAAGGGAGCAGATTTGAAATAATATTTATACTTAACAAGAAATAATTAAAGGTAAGTGGATTTTTGAATGATACAATTATATCATGATCACTTAACAATTTTAACTTAAAATTAGATGTATTATTACAAGCTTTTATTTAGCTTGCGTTATGTAAATAAAAGTATGTAGGTATGTTCGTATGTTGATGCAATTATCCTCAATCCTCAACCGACTGGGATAAAATTTTCCATACACGTTTATTTTGGATGATAGTGCATAGTTAGCTGAGAGTCGTCATTGGATAATAATGGTGGATAGCCTAAGATGTGTACTAGATATTTATTTTTAACATAATATGCGTAAGTACCTAATCGAATTAAAGAAGTTGCTGAGAAAAATACAGAACAATACGATAATAAACTAGCGTCTGCGTTTAATCCTCCGAGGAGATGTAATTTTACAAAGGTTTTTTGTATTTATTTTATTATTTTTTTAATAAATTTATTGTAAATAACAAGAAATAATCATTGTAAAAAAATAGGCACTCTATTGTTGAATTTTCGTCAGACCAACTAATCATCGTTCATTTTTTTAGGTTCAATGGGGAGACCTAAAGATTTACGCATATGGGAGCACTACCGTACTTTACCAAACAAGTCTGTTTCTTGCAAGCTTTGTAATAAGGTCTACAAATTCAGTAATGCTGCCAAAATGCTTCAACATCTTATCACTTGTCCAAAATCTCCAGAAACATTAAAAGACTCTATGAAACTTATAAAAGATAGCTCGTCCAAAACCAAAATGTCTGGACTGTCAGAGATAGAGACAAATGATTCTTTTATAAGCCCCTCGTCGTCTGCTAACACTACAATAAATGCTGAGTTTCAAGACACCGATGATCATATAAAAACAGAATTAGCGAGAGCTATATTTGTAACAGGGACGCCATTATCGATGGTGCAACATCCTTTATGGATACAATTTTTCGAAAAATTGCAACCAAAATTTAAAATACCTTCACGTAAAGCTTTAGCGACAAAATACTTAGATAAAATATATAGAGAAATGCGTTTTGAGTTAAATGAGGAACTAAATGCTTGTAGTTACTTACACCTTCAGTGCGATGGCTGGTCTAATTTAAGAAATGAAGGAATAATAAACTTTCTTATATCAAAACCTCAACCTGCATACGTTAAAAGTTTGAATACAGAAAGTAATCCTCACACTAGTGAATACCTTAGCCAAGAAGTTGAAAAAGTAATGAAAGTGTATGGAGCAAATAAGTTTCTTGTACTTATTGGCGATAACGCTAGAAATATACAAAAGGCATTCGAATTAACAAAACTCAAATATCCACATGTTGTTCCTCTCGGTTGCTGTGCACATATCCTTAACTTGTTGTGCCAAGATATTGTAAAGATACAAGAAGTAACTGTGTTTATTATGCAAGCCATAAATATAATAAAAACTGTTAAAAGGAGTCAACGATTAAGTTCCTTGTTGATAAAATCAAGGCAGGGTGAAGATTCTACACAAACACTAAAATTGCCTTGTGCTACAAGATGGGGAAGTCATGTTACTTCGTTAAAAAGTTTGAAAGCAAATAAGATAGCTTTGCAAATATTAACAGTTAGAGAAGATGTGGTAATTTCAAGAGATATTAAAGATTTAATTCTAAGTGATGATTTCTGGACGAAGACAGGGGAATGTATAAGTATTTTGGAACCAGTCACTGAAAGCATATTTTACTTAGAGAGCGACCAGAATCGTTTGCATCGCACATACATTACATTTAGAGATGTACAAGCTAAGATACGTTTTGCATTAAATGAGATTTCGACATTGAGCGAAGAAAGCAAACAGCAGATTCTAACATCAGTATCTTCAAGATGCAATATGGCAATGAGGCCAATACATTTTGCAGCATATATTCTAGACCCCAGGACTCTAGGAGTCGAACTTACTCAAGAGGAAGAACTTAAGGGTATGGAGTTTATCTACAATTTAAGCCAACACTTAAGTTTGTCAAATGTAATGGCAGATTTGGCGTGTTATAAAGCTAAAGAAAACTTTTGGGCCAGAGGATTTGTATGGAGCTCATTAGATAGCATTGAGCCCCTGATATGGTGGAAAGGTATTTGTGGTTCCACTGAGTTAAGCAAAGTAGCGATTCGTATTCTATCAGCTCCCTGTACTTCGGCAGCCACTGAGCGTTCCTTTAGTATCCAAGGCTACATACATAATAACAAAAGAAATCGACTTACAACTGAAAGAACTGAAAAAATTTCATTCATTTGTTATAACTGGAATCTTAAACATAAAGCTGAATGCGAGGACATTCAGTTTAATGAAGAAAATACCTTAGAAGCTTTCATTGAGCAAGTAAATGAACATAACAGTTTAGACGAAATAGAGCCTATCGAACCTATACAATTCATCGCTTGTAATAACTCTGAATCTGACAGTGATTGACTGTAGTTTTACATTTTACTTTCATCTCTTTCTTAATAAACTCAAAATCAAATTAAAAGTTTTTTATTCTGTAGGCTGCATAATAATATTGTCTATGTCCAGTATAGTGGACGTCTTGCGGCTGAGATGACGATGATGAAGTACAAAATCATAAACACCCAAAAATTTGGGTGTTTATGGGGTTTAAACCCAATAAACCCAAAACACCCGGTTTTTACCCACCAGACTTTAAACCCACCCAGGTGGATTGCCCATCTCTAGCCATATGGCATTAAATTTTTATATTTAGTTTATAAATCCGATTGTTTTATACACCTATAAAAATACATCTAAAAGTTTTTATCTATTAATAGTGGTAATTGTTGACATTTTGGTGAAACTTTGTACACATTGTTACAAAAATATATTAAAAATCTCCATGTTCATGCTAGTTCATACTTCTTACGAAAAGAAAGAGAGCCTTGGGTCTCTAAATACTAATGTACGAGAACAGGAAGGAGAAGATTTTATTCCTAATGTTTTATGTAGTAGCATAATAGATCTTTTAATTAGTTAAGTAAGTTATTTTCGTTATTTAACTAAATGAGCGCAAAACTCGGGATTTTTTGGAACAATTTGGCAATTTTTTTAAGTAATCTCCCAAGACACAACACTGAGGCAGCATATCGAAGATACTGGCAGCATTACGTCTGTGAATTGCTAAACTTGTTTTTTGCGTAAAGTTGCCAGCTCTTTGGTCATCAATAACCTCTAATATATATATTTATAATTTCGAGGATACTTAACCTGAACATACATATATATTTTTTTAAATACTTTGCAGTCCGAGAAAAATTCTTATAAAGAAAAAAAGTGGAATAATTACTCTGTAAAAAAACGCTTGTCGGGTAAGCTTAGAATAGCTTCTACACTATCTACACTAATAATATAAAGAGGAAAAACTTGATTATTTGTTTATTTTTAATAGATAAACTCAAAAATTACTTAACCGATTTTAAAAATATAATCACCTATAGAAATCTATATTATCAGCGTATAACATAAGCTTATATATAACTAATACAATTATCGAAAGAAAAAAGAAGACGTACCGTGCGAAGACGGACCTTATCACTAATATAAAATATTATATTTACCTAATGTCTTAATATCAAGTCATAAAAAAATAAAATGTCATTCCACGACTAAAAAAACTTCGAAGCAGGCGGGATTCGAGTTCACACATTCATTGAAATACCTGGGCGAGTAAAAATTAGAATAGAAATAAACTATTTAAATAGAATTGTTTACAAGTACCGAGTAATACACTGTACTTCATTCATACATGTTATATTCAAACAACACAGCTTGCATATGAATGAGGCTGATAATCACTATTGATTTGTCCTCTATTCTTTCAGAATCGTAATCATTATAATGTGCAAATTGTAAGAAAAATCACCTGTGTACATAAATGAGAAAAAAAAAAAGAAATAGTTGACATAATTAACATATTTTATAAAGACAATATCGGGATTTAACGTGATGCGTTTTTTTTTTAATAGGTGATAATGGTATGATTACCCCGCGTGCCCTATCGGTATACACTGGCGGGGCACCAGTGAAGATGATGCTGAGGATGAAAGCAGGCCAGTTAGCCCATCTTAACGAATTCAACTAGAGTTCACCAAGATGGTTTCCAGGAGGAACCACGTGGAGGTCGACCTGACAGGGTATATTGCTAGTAATTGGGGCTATTTGACCTCATTACTAACAATCCTTTTCCCTCCAGAGCAATGCGATTGTAGGTAAACAGGAGGTCTACCATGAAATGGAATTCCGAATTTTCGGACTCAATTTCGTGTTTTCGTTCATACCCAAATCGGCCTAGCAAATGGAACTTAACATTTCGTTCGTCACAAATCCTACCATAATAGTCCAAAAAACGATGTTTTAAAATTGTTAATAATTTTAAACGGTACGGTATTCTGTGATACCATCGATAATGTGCAACATACAGTGTTAGAGTGTCGTATAAAATCGATGGAAAGAGAAGAATTCACACGACACTTTAACTAAAATAAATTAAATATTGGTGTCATTCAATTTATATTAGCTGAATCCAAATCAAAAATTTTTAAATTCTTTGTAAACTACTGATATTTATTAATTCCTCTCTTTCCGTGATTAGGGAAAATAGAAAAAATTTTATTTGAGAAATCAATTCAGAGTATGATACCTAAAGAAGGTAAAATTCCTTAAATAAAATCAATTATTTATTGCGTTTATCTATTACAAATTACATTACAAGTTTATAGACGACGGTTACCACTTTCCATAAGGTGGGTCATCTGCTTGTTTGCCATTCTAAGTTGCATAAAAAAAATTAAAAAAATCAAATCTTTCCTCTTCATATCATAGTTTAGATAATATAGTAGTACTCAATCCCACGTCAAACGATGATATTCACGGCTAGAATACAAATGACGTGTGCGCAGGAAGCAAAAACGTGCTAGCAGCATTCCATATTATTATTATAGTGTGGTGGAGAGGTACCGCCATTTATAGAAGGAAGCGAACTGGTATAAATAGATCCCTTTGGGAGTACAGATGGATGTGTATGTATAAGTGTCATAATAACCTTAGGTTATTAATATAATATTATAAATTTGAAAGTGTGTTTGTTTGTAACCTTTTAGCCCTTACCAACACAAACAACCGTCATGTTCAGAGCAACTTTCCTGAGATTTATGAGTCAATTAAAATGCAAATTCTTTAATGCACTAAAACATACAGTAACAAATTTGTAACAAAGTAAAGGTAAACTTATCTCTAAAAGACATTTCTTCCCGTCAACCTGATACAATGGAATAGGAAGTAGTGAGTGGACAGTAGTAGTGCCAAACAGAAACTAAATAATACTATTTACATAATTTACAAATCGAAAGATACAATATTATATATATATATATATATATATATATATATATATATATATATATATATATATATATATATATATATATATATATATATATATATATATATATATATATATATATATATATATATATATATATATATATATATATATATATATATATATATATATATATATATATATATATATATATATATATATATATATATATATATATATATATTTGAAAAATTTATTCATAACTAGCTTCTAGTCCTCTACTTATGCATCTATTTTTGAAGTAGGAAAACCAATGAAATAGACCATTTCTAAATGGTGTAGGTATCAGAATAGAATATACACCAGTTTTTAAGTTAGGTCATTAAGAACAATAGTTAAATCCGATTTGGTGTATTTGTTGCGTAAAGCTGAATAAAAATATAGACAGATAAAAATTTTAAAATTTATAATTATGATTTCTATTGCTCTTATTAAGACCCCTTCATATAATTTCTTAAATATCTCCCATGTAGAGACATTGTTAAGTTATTAAGATAAGTACTCATTGTAAAATATATTACGGTGATATATGAATAAATTATTAATAGTTGACGTTCCATTGTTTCTGCCTACCCTAATGGGAGACAGGCGATCATGCCTGATATACACATCTATCAAGATGTGTATATGTATGTATATATGTAAAATATCAATTAAATGATATTATATGTACTTAGTAGTGTAGATCCCGGCAGAGAATAGACCACCCATCCCTTTCCCGTGAGTGTTGTAAACAACAGATAACAACAACGTCATCAAAAGCCAAACTGTGGTTGCCAAACTGCCTGCCAAGTGTAGTAACTACTGACAAAACCCTCCTAATTGGGGGGCTATATTCAAAGGTGGGACAGTTAACGGGTGATACAATACAATACATTTATATGAAATTATTATGCACCTATTATTTTTATTTTATTACTGATAACGATAAAATTGTATATAATTGAAAATAATTTATTAAATTACAAAAATATTTAGTAAACAAACACTGCATCTTACAAAAAAAAAATAACCAAATCCGTCCTTCCCAAACTCGTTAACGATACTTTATGACTCCACTCACGTAGGGTATTCTATATTATTGTTTACGTTAATTGTTCATCAATTTTCAATTTTAACCCCATAGTTATAAGGCGAAGGTATTTTCGTGGAATGCAGTGGATCGGAAATGGTTACCGAGCCGTAACACCGGAACCCTGATGCGTGAGGATTTTTATAAATACTTTACGGTATTAATAAATATCAATGTCTTTATCACCCGTCTCTGTCTCTATTCACATAATCCTAACTAAGAATAGGTATAATTGTGTAAGATTGGAAAAATATGAATGAATGAATAAATGAGTATACTTTATTTGCATTATACAATATAGGAAATAAGCAAGGCAATTTACAAACACAACGATACAATTGTATAAGTCAGTAAGGCGGTCTTATTTAAACTTTTGACAACCTTAAGGTAATGGATAACTGTTGTACAAGTAGTAGTACAAAAATATTTGTATGTTTATTACTCAATCACGTTTAAACTTTTAACGTTTAAACTTTTGTTAGTGGCCGAGTTTAGCGACCCCATTGCTAGCAATATATACTGTAAGAATTTTTCCCTGAAAACAATCGTCTTTAATTCCAGATGAATTCATTATGATGAACTAACCGACTTACCTTGAGGGGAAGGCATTGTTAGTAATAGGGTCTAATAGCCCCATTGCTAGCAATATACCCTATCAGGTCGACCTCCACACGGTTTCTCGGGAAACAATTGTGAATAAGTCTTGTTTGATTTGTCACGATGGCACAAATAACCTGCCTTCATACGCACATGTCATCTCTCTGTTGCCCCGCCAGTGTATCTCTCTTCCATTTTCATCTCTCTCTATCATCTCTCACTGGTACTCAGTTATAAATATATAGAGCGCAGACGGGGTTACCATTCCATTATCATCCATTAAGAAGACAACCCCCCAAACCAAAACATAGCCTCACAAACACAACTGTTTCGCGGCAGAAGATAAAGTGTTACAGACGTATTCGCAACACCTCAAGCAGACGACTTTTTTACAGAATACCTCTGGTGAAGTAATAGCTATAATGTAGCAGTTTAGTAAACTAATTACTTCTTTTTTTTACGTTTGATTTATTTCTTCGACGAGATATCTCGAAAGCGGTTCTCATCCTAAATGGGCAGTAAACATCCAAACTGGATTTTGTGATTCATCTTGCATTTATCTACCCACACCGCACCACTTGCTGTTCTCAATGAACGTTCTTTTTCAATCAATTTGTAATGAATGAGTA